GAAATAATCCAATTAGGAAATGGACAAAAGTTCTGAAAAGACAGACTTAATAACTAAATGACAACGTGTTGTACTTATTAGTCAAACAGAAAGTATACACATAAACTGCACAGAATCCTCTTAGCTCCAGTAAGAATAGCTATCATCAAGAAAGCACAGAGGATGCAGGGAAAGAAGAATGCACACCAGTCCAGCCACCATGAAAACAGAAATTCTTCAAAAAACTGAAAGTAGAACTACCATCATGTGACCCTGCTAATCCACTACAGGGTACAAGAGCCAATCCACCACAAAGATAATTTACACATTCATACTTAATGCTGAATAATTAATAGTATTTAAAACATAATAAGTCTATATGCTCATTGACAGATGAATAGAAATGCCACATACATACATAATGTAATATTATTCGGTCAATAGGAAGAACTGGAGATTTTCTAATATATCATGTTTTCTCTCAACATTTAAAAGGAAACAAACCTAGAAGTAGATATCTGTGGAGAAGGACCAATATGAGGAAAAAGGTACAAGATGGTGAATGGTGGGGTGAAGACAACACAATCATCCAATTCACACATGAACATGTCCTAACAGTTGGAAAGGTGGCTCAGTGGGTAAAGTCAACAGGAGTCAAGATGGTAAACGGAGTTCGCCCTTGAAGCTCTACAAGGTGAAATATACTCACAAAAGTTGTACCTCTGACCCCTACACAGGTGCTATGTATACACACAAAATAAATTAAAATGTAATAAGAATTACAGATGTTACAATAAATTTATTATTTTAAAAGTACACATAACTAAAAAAACAATAAAAACTCATGAAGATTTGTTCTGTAATATTCACCACAGTTATTTATGCAATAACTCCAAACTGCTAAGAACTCTGACATCTTATGACTATAGCAAACACTGAGAAATATGACTGCAATGCAGCAACCCTGCAAACTGAAATAAACTACTAGCACATGCCATAATCCTAGAGGAGTTTTAAAGAATTTTGGTAGGTGAAATATACAGAATACAAAATATTGTGCACTGTGTTTTAGGACCATAATTTTAAAAAATGTAAATATTATTTTTGTCATTTTTCTGTTTTCCTTCCTCAGAAGTAGGGTAGAGGGGAAGAAAAAAGGGGGAGAGGGAGAGAGAAATGCTCTCTATTTGCAATTCCTTAAAAGGGTCACTCTGAGGAAACCAACGTTTAAGAAGTTAGTTACTATGAAACTGCATTCTATACCACTGACCCTATGCATAGAAATCATGAAAACTGAGGGCTTCCTGGACATTGCTTATAGTTCTAGGCAGCTAATCATTTTAAACAATGAGACTTGTCAAGTCTTCTGTTAACTTAAATTGTATTCTAATGATCATTTAATGATTTTAGAAAACTGGACATCAAATACTATAAAATTGTATCATAAAACAGCATGTAAAATAAAGTTCATTTTGCCTTGAACTTTAGATGTTAATGTGAATTTTGCAATGTAACTTTCTTGGTATGGAAATTTTTTTAAAAATATTTGGATGAAGGCAACAAAATTGTGACATAAACTACATAAAGCTTAATAACTCAGATTCTGGTAATAAAGATATTTATATAACCATAAATTTAGTAAAAAAAAATATCAAGTTTTAAAAGCATCACCATGAATCTGAAATACTTCTAACTTAAAAATCACCCAAATCACACCTCCACAAATTAGTAAGTAGAATTCAAATGCTGACTGCCGGCACTTCTGTCTTCTGTGAATTTAAAATGAGATGATTCTGGTTCACAGAAGAGAAAATGCCAGCCAAATAATGAGAAATCTGAATAAGTAAGAGAAGATCTCAAGAATGACATGTAACTGAAAGTCATATATAAAAACTAAAATGAATTTTATCAAAGACATTAATACATACTGCGCAAAGTGCTAACAGGCATGAGTAGTAAAAAAATGGAAATGGTAGGTTCATTAGTACCCACAGAAAGAATGTAAGAGAACAGTAAGAATTTATCAGATTCATAGCAGGTCCACATGATTTACCATGCTTTTAATCTCTAGCTCCCATGAAATCTGAGCCTGTGAGACATCACAGGATTCCAGTTTAGAGGCTTTAAGACATACAAAACTGAAGACAGTTTGCAAAAAGATCTAAGGAGAGACTTCTTCAACTAAATTTGGTATTACCTTAGTTTCCAAAAATTACAGTTTCTCCTGGGGATATTTTTCTATTTCTCATTTAAATTTAATAGCAGCTAAATTACTAAAAGTGGCCTTAGCATATTAGTAGCAATATTATTAGACTTTAAAAATTAATTATACAGATGCTGATTTGTGGCCTGCACTGCACTCAATGCTGCTCTAAGTTTTACACAGATTATCATTTCCTTTCTATCACTCTCTTCCCTAGTCATCCGTTCATTTGCTTATTTTTAATTATTAAATACACAGTATCTATAATATGAAAAGTTACAAAAGAATACACAACTGAAAATTAAACTTTCCTTCCACCCTTTACTCAGTCACAAGGCCAGTTCTAAATTCCAGTGGCTAATGAGGTAATTCACTGTACACACATACATAATCTCTATAGCCAGTTCTAAATTCCAGTGGATTAATAATGAGATACTCGCACATACACATTTACAGGATCTATGGTCAGTTCTAGATTCCAGTGGATAATAAGATATTCACATGTACATAATTTTTGATCAGTTCTAAATTTCAGTGAATAATGAAATATTCACATGTACATGATCTATGTTTCTCTCAGCATAATAGTAGTAGCATGCTTTATATTATCCCATCTTGCAACATTTGACATACTTAATCAGCATTCTTACTGAATGTTCATTTAAGACACCATACTTGTACAACAAATGTATTTATTCACATACCATTTGGTCATTTATCTTTATTTTTGGAATTACAATTACTGGAAATGGAATTGCTGAGTGTCTCAGTTACTTTTCAAGTTGTTCACTGAAAAAGGCAACTAAAGGGGGAAAGGGCTTATTTTGGCTTATAGTTCAAGAATATAATCCATCATGGCAGGGAAGTTACAGGAGCTGGAGGCAGCCAGTCACAATAGAACCACAGTTCAGAGTCGAAAGTGATACATGATGAATGTTTCTATTTGTCCACAGTTTCTTTTTATATAGTTCAGGGAACAGTGCTACTCACAGAGTAGTCTTAGCACCTCAATTAACTTGAGATAGCCTTCACAGACATGCCAAGAGGCCTGTCTCTCAGGAAAATCTAGATCTCAACACGTTGAGAACTGGATATCACACTGACTCCAATAGTATGCATATTTTAAATTCTGACTGGTACCAATATGGAGGTTTCATTAATTTAATTTCCACCTCTACAAGTAAAATTACAACCTTTAGGTGGAGATCTTGCAAATCTGTTTTCCTTTACTTTCTAATTCAACAGATATAATCTCCAAATTATTTTTAAAAACATTTCAAAAAGCAAAAGCTGTTTAAAAATCAATTTTATAGTCTCACTCTAAAAACTTTTTTCATAACTTGAGTATATCCATTAATTTCACACGATTACAACATAAACTATGTATGGATATTTACAATAAAGGTTTTATTACCCACATCCAACAAACTAGCTCTTAAGATACCAGTTCCACAGCTCCAAACCATGCATCTTCTTCAGATTTCCATGGGCATCTAATTGAAGTTCCAAGTTTTTGTGCTTGGGTCATTGTTATCTTACTGCTCAAGCTTCCTTTGTTCTGTGCTCACCCTCCAGTGAGACGCTATCATCTCTTCCTAAAGAGCCACTTCAGCTTAGACAGTCCACTAATAATCTCCCTCAGAGTCCATCTTTAATGAATTGTCTTTTATTATTTTTACTTAGAGCTTAGATATTCTAACTGATAATATACTCACAATAGAAACTCTATACACCTACATGTCATATGAGAGAAACAATATACTCCTTCATAGAAAAGTCAATGTCTTAACACATTCAGAAAAATCTGTACTGTCTAAACACTCAAAATATATTCACCGTGTGAGTGAATAAAATTTTCAAACACAGTAATTTCTATATACCAGATAATCTTTATGAAAACTATTCCACAGTAGGTATTTATTTTGATTGGGAAATAAGACTCTAGGCTACAAGATACAAGCTTCTTTTAATACATTCATTTCAGAAAGCTCACAATGTAAAGCATTTCCAGTTACTGTTTCTGCTCATTTCACTTTTTCTTCACATTGATTTTATTTAAAACAGGAAGGAAAATAAAGGAAAGGTACAAGTGAAACGACTTAATTTCTCTCAAAAAGTGTAAGATCTATTAAATCTCAATTATCATCTTGGTCACTACATACATACAAGGGAAAAAGCACAGCTGCACTATATATATCTATGTAAAATACTGTTTGGTTGAGTTCAAAATAGGTTAAAAAAAACTTTTTAGAAGTTTCACAGGCTTATTTGAAAAACTATCTAAAACTAAATAACTATGTACCTATAGTTCCACAATTTATTAATATAATTTCAAAACTCATACTGTTGGGACTCAAGAAATATTTCAACAGTTAAGAGAATTTGTTTTGCAGAGAACTAGGTTCCCAGCACCCACATGCTGGTTCAGAGTCATCTCTAACTCCAGTTCCACAGGATTTAATGTCCTCTCCTGACTGTTGTGGGCACTAAGCACAAACATGCTGCACGGGCACAACATATGCAGGCAGAACACTCCAACATAAAATAAACCTAAAATCAATGAATAAAGGGAACTATGTCCCTTTTTAAAAAAATCACACTGTAGTAAAATATTTTAGGTTTCAAAATATAGTAAAATAAGGAAAGTGATTATGCTTTCCAGTGACCACAATACCCCACTAGAAGCTATCCAGCTTTTGTTTACTCAACAGGAAGAACTAGGCAAACCCGTCAGGGTGAGAACCACCATAACCCACACTGCTTGTAATACTTTCAAGAAAATAGTCCGTGCAAATGCTAGATTGACTTCTTGACTCACCTCTCCCCCATTAACATATTCCATCACAAAACACAGACGGTCTTTTGTCTGGAAGGAATATTTCAAGGACTTGAAATAAAAAAGAAAAAATGTTAATTATAATCCTGTAGTCTTAAAAGTATAATGGTACCAAAAATAGAGCACTTGAAAGCAGTGAGCATAATTAATGGACTAGTGTTGTTCTTTAAGAGTATATTTACTTTATAAGAATGCTTTCTAAGAAATACGGTAAAAACAAATTAGTAATGGTGGTGAGCACTCTCAACCTGCTGTTCCACCTGAGACTGACTTAGTACTCAGTACTCTAGTTCTCATCTCCCAGTCTCTACAAGGAACTCTAGGGAAAGTTCCACAGGAACACAGTTGCTTTTATTCAATATGATCAATGGCGTGTCAGTGTTACTTTGTATGTACTGAGGATAAAACCCAGCCCAACTCAGGAAGGTCAGACTAGGTAACTCCATAAGTCATAAGAATATACTAAAATGTTACTATATTAGAAAACAGACAAGAAACACTTTAGCAAAGACCAGAATCTATTGATAACTGTGAAAATATTTACTTTAGCTAGCCTTAAAATGTTATTAAAAGTTCTACTTTTAAACAATAGCTGCTATTTTAATCTTAATATGCTTGGTATAGTATGGAACATAGCGAAACTTTATAAACTATTCTCTAATATATAGAATCCCAGGCTAGATGTAAAATAGTCTGTTTAAAAACATGCTGCATGAATTAAGTCATGGTTCATATTTTCTCTAATGAAGAAAACACAGCAGGACTCCCTGTATTTAAAACAGTCCATATTCCTGTATTTCTATCATGAAAGGGATCTTATTTCTGTGAAATCTGTTCATTTAAAATTTTGGCCTTTGAAAACTGAAGACCATATTATGTGGTAAATTTAATGTTTATATGAAGCCAGCAAACAAAAAAAATAAAAAGTAAAATCTTCATTTGATTTTTTTCTTGAGATAGGTCTGACCCTGTAACCCAGGTACCCTAGATTTCACTAGGAAGCCCAGGCTGGCCTTGAACATGGGGAGAGCCTCCTGTCACAGACTCCTCAGTACCAGTATTACAGTCATGAGCTATATGCCTGGATTGCACAACTGTTAAAAAACAAAATAAGCTTTTAAAAGTCTACCATTTTGTCAGTGAACTTAAAACACCAAAGGAGACCTGCTTGGTCTGTGGATATATATTTAAATCAGAGAGATTTATAAGAAGAAAGAAAGTTTTTTAAAAAATTGTACAAAGACAATGGGAAGAATTATAAATGCATTCTATACAAATGATACACTTAATTCACATCATTCAACAGTTTCAAACAAATTGAACTTACATTCTGTCATAAAGAATGTGGTATAACTAAGTAAATATTACTTGAAACACTGTCATAGTTTCATTCAATAATAAAATCTTCCTAAATTTACAATGTCCTAACAACATTCTCTAAGCACTTACTGTTAAGAATGGATGTCTGGTGTTCTTTAGTACTCTGCTTTCAGTAAGAGTGTGTGCCACTTCATCCTACAAAGAAAGACAACTATAAATACATATCACAAGTACTAAACACACAACACTGTCAGCATTTTCAGAAACCAGAAGATACTGCTGAGACATAAAAAAGCGGTATTAATATTTATGTTTCCTCTATGGCCTAGCCTCCCCTCCACCACTACACCCAAAGTTCAAATTATTAGTTTAATTCTGAGGGGTAGAAGATAAAAATTCATATAAACTCACTCATATTTAGTTAAATGATATAAATAATGATATAAAATTATTCAAGGTGAAAAAAATTAAGTATGTTGGTTTTTCCCGTAAAAGAAATGGCTTACCAGCTTATACTATAGCATAAAACTAAGCTAGTATTTCCACAGTTATACACTTTATTCAGGGAGACATTAAAACACAATTCAGTGAGGATCGTAAAATAAACTCTCTTATTAACAGTCAGTTATTTAAAAAGGAACCACAGGATACACAATTTAATTCTAAATTACACACTGCAAAAAAGTAACAGAGTGCAAAATCACATGTTTTATGCTTGATACTTTTTAATATTCTTTTTACAGGTCTTAAACATTTTACTTCAAGTAAGTTTTAAAATGCAAGCATATTTCATAAAAAGAATGTACTTTCCCTGGAAGAGATCTCCTGGGTGGACTGGCGGTGAGTGGGGATGGGAACTTGAGGGATCGGGTTGGGGGAGTAGAATGGGTCAGTACTGAAAGAGATGTTTGAAAGGGGAAACATTTTGGCACTAGGAAGAAACTTGATGTAAGGGAAACTCATACAAATCCAAAAGGATGACCCCAAGTAAGACTCCTAGCAATATAAATGTGCATCCTGAACTGTGATCAGATTGGTTGGTGACTACCCCAACTGTCATCAGAGAACCTTCATCCAGTAACTGATAAAAACAGACGCAGAGACCCACAGCCAAACATTAGGTTAAGCTTGGGGAAGTCTGATAAAGAGAGGAAAGGATTACAGAACCCAGAGTGGTCAAGGATGTCACAAGAAAACTCACAGAAACAAATAACGTAGTTCCTAGGAACTCAAGAGTCTGAAACAACAACCAGGGAACCTGCATGGGACAGATCTAGGCTCTCTCTAAATACTACAGTTGTGTAGCTTGGTCCTATTGTGGGACTCCTAACAATGGGAGCAGGTGCTGTCCCTAATGCTTTGGCTGGCTCTTGGGAACCTATTCCTCATACTGGGTTGCCTTGTACAGCCTTAATATAAAGGGTGGTGCTTAGTTTTATGGCAACTTGACATGCTTTGTCATACAGATGGGAGGCCTGCCCCTTTCTGAACAGAAACAGAGGAGGAGTGGATTTGGGAAGGGGGAACTGCAGTTGGGATGTAAAACATATAAATAAATAAAAATTTAAAAGGTATATAAAACAAACAAATAAACAAAAATTAACATATTTCCCCAATTGTGTTCTTTATTTGTAAAAATCAAATTCCCATTGTGATTTGTAAAAAGAAAACTAGAAGGGATTATTTAACATATGGGGAGTTGAAAACATGTTTCAGATTTCAAAGGTAGATCATCTTAAGGAAGGGAGGGTGGGGAAAGGAGGGAGGCTGGGAAGGGAGGGAGGGAGGGAGGGAGGGAGGGAGGGAGGGAGGGAGGGGCATCTCCAATTTGCTTCTAGGAAATTCTTAAACAAATACCTTGCTGGATCAACAACACTGTTGACAAATAAAAGTTAGATCATAAAGAAAGGAATGAAGAGTACAACATCAAGACACTGAATTATTATTATCTTACAAAAGCATTTTACCTTAGTTTATGCCTAGAAGAAAAATAAGAAACAGATATATAAAAAGCTAATATTATAAACAAGGGAATACCAACTGTGTATGAACAAAGAGTAAAGTGAATTAACAATGTAGTATTTAAAGCAAGTTAAGCCAAAGATAAATAAACCACTTCAGTCTTTCTTATTTTATAAGAGCCAGGTTTAAGTGTTCAAACAATTTGAAAGTCACTGCCATACTATAGTAATTTGCCTAAATCAATTATAGCAACATTTTATTAGAAAATAAATCAGAAGAGGAAATGACACAAGAACTTACAGATTTGTATACCCATTATTATCTAGCATAATGGCTAGCATACAGCAAGTACTTAATGTTTGAGCTGAATGTCATAAATCCAAAAGCTGCTTTATTTAACCATTACATCAACAACTACGCAGAATCATCTAGGTATGATTTACACACTGGAGAAAAAGCCCTTTCACAGGCTAGTGAAGATAAGTAACTATTCAATTTAAAAACAATATGTATTAACAAGAGAGAATTTATATTATAAGTAAGATAGAAAGGAAAAACAAATGGAACATAAGCTCAGTAATGTAATCCAATGGGTACTGAAGGGCACGGTGGCTAGCACAATGTGATTTATACTCTCTAAGGTTTACTGATGTTATATTGGTGAGTAGAGTAAAACAGAAAGGAGACCATTAAAGTACTCTGATTTAGAAATAAGATAATTTAGACTGATGAGGTAGTTTGAGATATTTTTAGATATAAAATCAAAAAAATATTCTAAAAGTTACATGCCTACACTGAAAAGGTACATCAAAAGAAATGTATGCAGTGAGATAGGTATTTACAGAAAAGGTAACATTTACCTACTGTGGAGTAGTATGCTAAGTAATCTGAGTCAATAAAGTAGAGAAAGACTACAAATAGTGAATAACAAACTAACTTAATAGCAGAAACAATAATGTGATGCTTTAGAAATCATTTTTATAGGGTGTTTCATTTTTATTCTGGTAAGACGGCCACATGATATACAGTATTTTCCTAGGTCAGTTAGTAAATTTCACGGGGGAACAAACTTTATTCCTCTTAATTCTTCAATCTACTTAACCACATATGCAGGGTGAAGCAAAGATATGAAGAGACAAAAGTTAAGAAAATTCTTTGTTACAAGAACACAATATAAAGGTAATAGGATAGACCAATTAATATACTAACCGAATTTTTATCATTAATTTATATTTATGGTTAGAAAATTTCCCATTAATGCAAATTTAGTGGTACTGTATTACACATACTAATTAGTTTTTCTATGAAGATATGGTACATACAAGCTAAGAAGTAAACACAGATGCCAATAATTTTTAATTACAGCTAAAAGCAACATGTCAAAACAAGAAGTTAAAAATAACATTGGCAAACTCAGTGGCTAAAACAATGCAATGACTATTTAAACTTCATTTGTTGATGATTATTATAAATTAAGAGCTTTAAAAGTACTAAAATTTAGAAGAATGTTCTCATAAAAATACAGATTTCCTTCAAATATAGATTTCCATATATTTGTCCATCCTGAAAAACTAAATAATGAGTTTTCGAGACTAATTTTTTTCAGAGAAAGACACTTTGGAGGAGACTATTTCCTGAGGGCATGAGATCTAATCTCTCCAATTTTATCACTAACCCTCCAAGATAAATGGCCTAAGAGTCTTTCGTCATTTGCACACTTGCTGTTTTATGACAGTTGTGTTGTTTAAGTGAGTGAGAAAAAGCAGAAGGAAAGAAAACAGACTATTAATTAAAAACAAAACAGGAAAACATGTTTATACCATTAACAAAGGTGAAACCTGGGTATAAGTTCATGAGTGTATTAGTAAACTGAAGTTTACAGAACATAATTTCTTAAGTACAGATGAAAGAGTATTAATCCATCTCTATCTCCAATTGTAATGCCCAGTTCTACTTCCACTTCCTCCTATCTTCAAATATCTGAATACCTCCTTAACCAGATCCTTGTTCTAATCACATTATTTTCTGTATACTGGCAATAGTTCTCCTGTAATTGACTCTGACATCAGAATACATTGTATCTGAAAACATTTACTTCCTCCTTCCCTCCAGAGAAGTAAATGAAAAGATGAAGTGAGTATTAGACATAATAGCAGAAGGGACACTCTTTTAATTAAACCACAGTAACTTCCAAGGATCACTGTCTCATTAGCAACCTTGTCTGCTTTTCGGATGGCTCTTTATGAGACATGTCATAAGTATCAAGCTCTAAATCATCTTAAAGTTTGAGCACTGGACTAGATTTGACTTTCTAAAACTTCATTCCTCTCTATTTGCTTTATCATTATTCATTATTTTGTCTGCTTAAGATGTTGATATCTATTTCAAAGGGGACAAAGGTTATCCATGAACAATGCATTACCATTCTCAAGTACTATGTGTGGTATTTATAATTGATGCTTCTGTTTCAAACACACCCTGGATGGAGTGCCATACTCTCTGACTGCCACAATATCCTGCCACTACCGCCCTCAGCACTTCTTCAGCTAGAAAGTATACTGCTTTGACATTCAGAACACTCTGAACATGAAGACCTAGGAATAAGGGAGCTGCTTCCTTTACTTGCCAGCATGCAGTAGATCCTTCCACCCAAAATCTTTTTCAATTCTGGCAAATTTTATATCTTGTACTTTATTACTTTAACTTTAAAATCTCAGATATTCTATCTCCTTTGAATGAGATTCTATGTTAAAATTATTGTCCCAATATTGTCCATATCTTTATTTTTGGTTTCTCATTCCCAGATAAACTCCTAAATCTATTTCTCTTTCCTTATTTTATTTTCACTATAATAATTATAATTAGATTCATATTTGTTCATTCTTATGCTCTGTTTATCAAGCCTAGTTTTGTTTCATACTCAATACCTCTCTATAAAACACTAGTTCATAGTTGACAACTTATCTTCTGCGTGTTCTGTTTCCATTAGCATGAACTCTATTGTGGTTTACTGTTAATTCTATATCTTCAGATGTTTTTCATATGTTTGGTGATGCTCAGGAGTTTTTTCACATTTACATATAAAAAGGTAAAATAATAGAGCATGATTGACTTTATGGATAAAAAAAGCTACACATGAATTTTCCTACACAGATTAGGAAATGCATATTTACATATTTCACTTTAAGAGTGTAAAAGGATGGACATGGGATGTACTCGCTCATAATTGGTTTCTAGCCATAAATAAACGACATTGAGTTTATAATTTGTAATCCTAAAGAAGCTAAATAAGAAGGTGAACTCAAAGAAAAACATATAGTTATCCTCTTGGATATGGGAAGTAGACAAGATTGCCGAGCAAAAATTGGGATCTTGGGGAAGGGGTAGGATTGGGGTAAGGGGAGATGGGGAGAGAAATGTGAGAAGGGGAGGATGGGGGGAGCTTGGGGGAATGGGATGGTTGGGATAAAGGAAGGATGGATATTGGAACAGGGAAGCATATATCTTAATTAAGGGATCCAACTTAGGGTAGGCAAGAGACCTGAATCTAGAGGGGCTCCCAGGTGCCCAGGGGGATGTCCCCAGTTAGTGCCTTGGGCAGCTGAGGAGAGGGAACCTGAAATGGCCCTATCCTATAACCACGCTGATGAATATCTTGCATAACACCATAGAACCTTCATCGGGCAATGGATGGAGATAAGAGACAGAGACCCACATTGGAGCACCAGAATAAGCTCCCAGGGTCCCAATGAGGAGCAGAAGGAGGGAGAACATGAGCAAGGAAGTCTGGACCGTGAGGGGTACACCCACCCACTGAGACAGAGGGTCTGATCTATTGGGAGCTCACCAAGGCCAGCTGGACTGTGACTGAAAAAGCATGGGATAAAACCGGACTCTCTGAACAATGAGGACTGATGAGAAGCCAAAGACTGGGGTTTGATCCTACTTCATGTTCTGGCTTTGTGGGAGCCTAGCCAGTTTGGATGCTCACCTTCCTAGACCTAGATGAAGGGGGGAGGACCTTGGACTTTCCACAATGCAGGGAACCCTGACTGCTCTTAGGACTGGAGAGGGATGGGGAAAGGAGTGGGGGGAGGGGGAGTGGCATGGGAGGAAGAGAAGGGAAATGGGAGGCTGGGAGGAGGCAGAAATTAAAAAAAAATAAAAATAAAAATAAAATTAAAAAAAAAAGAGTGTAAGAGGATGAAAAAAGTTCTGGCCTCCAAGAATGTCCAACAAGGGGTATCAATCACCATACCTAGAACTCAAATCTTTCCAAAACGACTACTTAATAACCAAAGGGCATTTCTATTTTTATTACTACAATAATAAAAACACTCTAAGAATAAGACTAGGATTTATTTAGTTAGCTATTCTCATTAAAATAAATGAATACCCTTGCAATGTTTTATTATCTAATCCTAACTGCAAAAATGAATAGAGGCTATATAATAGTTTAAAAATGAAAATATGTCAAAGGGCATAAAAACAACCTAAAGAATAAATTAATGAAAAGAACGCAAAACCAAAGTTGAGTACTTAGAGGAAAACTAAGGTCACAGCTGATAATAAGTTTGCTAAAAAACTGAACAAAGCCTCAATTATGGTGTCTCTAAGATATGCCATACACTGAGTGAGCTACTTTACCCCTAACCCTGCATTATAAGAAATGATGAAGCTGAATCCTTCTGTTGGGAATAAAAGAATATTATAACTTGAGACTACATGAGAAATAAGGACCTCTACTATAGGTCAAGTATGTAAAATGATACACTATAGTAGTTGTAATCTCGAATTGCAATGTCACAGTGTTTTTCTAAATATCGAAAAATAAATACATTCACACAATATAAAAAGATGCAATTTAAAGATAGCAATAACTTAGGATAAAGATAAGTCTATTGAAAAAGTTTTTGTACATTATCAAAATGTTTCTAAGCAAAAATAATTACTATAATTACAATGGAATCCATAATGAAAACTACTATAGAACCGGGCAGAAAGAAATTAAAAGGTTCTAAAGTGTTTCTCTCAAATTTCAACAAATGGTTATTTCTAATGTTTCAAATCAGCCAGATCCTACAGTTCCTTCTTTAGAGTCCCCATCTGAGTCCCCAGCCTTCCCTCAACACACCTTCTCCAATCCTCTAGAGGTGTAGCCTAGGCCCACAACCACTGCTCAGGACTACTCTGTTCATCCCTCCTGTACAGCATCCCACTAATAGGCTTTAGGTGGAACTCGCCCTGCCTGAACCACAGTCTTCTCCCATGCCACGTACAATCTGTCTACTAAGGTAGATCAATGATGAAAGGATAAAGAATCAACCTGAACACATCAATACCTTTTCTATACACCAACAACAACAAATATACAGGAAGAGAGGTTGTGTATACACTCTCATTCACAAAAGTCAAAAGAAAATAGATGATCTAGGAATAAACCTAACCAAGGAGGTGAAGGATCTTTGCAATGAAGACCTGAAATCTCTCAAGAAAGAGATAAAGACACTCAGAAATGGAAAGACATTCCATACTTACAAATTATTAAAATTAATGGTGTGAAAATTACCACTCCACAAAAAGGTACTTAGAGATTTATTTCAATTCCAACCAAAATCTCTATCTCCTCTTCAGAGAAATAGAAAAAAAAATCTAAAATCATATGAAATCACAAAAAAAAAACTCTGATAGGCAAAACAACTCTGAACAAAAAGAACAATACTGGATTATCATTTCACACCTCTCAAGCTATAATACAGAACCACAGTAATAAAAATATGATCCTGACATAAAAACAAACATATAGAGCATTGGAATAAGATTGAAAATTCAAACATGAATGAAGACATGAAACTTCAGCCACTTAATATTTGAAAACGATAACAAATATGCTCTAGGAAAGAATGCATTTTCATAAACGGTGCTTAGAAAACTTTATATCCATATGCAGAAGAATATAATTAGATCCCTATTTATCAACTTGTATAGAAACTATCTCCAAATGGCTCAAAGGCTTAAATGTGAAACCTGAAACACTGAAAGTGTTAGAAAAAGGAACAGGCAATACTTCACAGCATACAGGGATAAAAATGGGCTTCAGAACAGGACTCTTTTTGCCTAAGAATTAAGGCCAGCAAGTGATAAGTGGGATGACAGAAAACTAAATAGCTTCTGCATGGATAAAGAAACAATCTACCAGGTGAAAAGGAGGCCCACAAAACTGGAGAAAGTCTTTGCTAGCTCTACAATTGACAGAGGATTAATATCCAGAATACATAAAGAACTCAAAAACAGTATAAAAATAAATGGCCCATTCTTTTTCATCTGAGATCTAAACAGAGAATTCTTAAAATAAGGGTAGGAAACAGCTAAAAAAAGAATCACTCAAAAATGTTCTAAGTCTTTAGCAATAAGGGAAATGCAAATGAAAAAACTCTGAAATTTTATCTTACCAATCAGCTGACAAATATCCCCAAAGGAACTGACAGCAAATGCTCCAGAGTTATGAGGAGAGTGGAACCCACATTACTGATGGTGGACTGCAAGCTCATCTAGCTACTCTAGAAATCATTAGGGTAGAGTCCTCAAAAAGCTAAAAATAAACCTACCATATGGCCCATATGTACCACTTGTTGGCATATGTCCAAAGGACCCAACAGCCCACTCCATAGATCCTGCTCAGCCATAGTCATTGCTGCTCTATACATAATAGCTGGGAAATAAAAACCACCTATATGTCCTTCACCCGATGAATGAATATTGAATTGATATGGTACATATATATTCTAGAAAAATAGTGAAAACACTAACATAATTAGTGATATGGATCACAAATATATACCTAAAAGATTCCTCCAAATTAAAGTAAAAATATTTGCTCAATGGAATAAGACAGGTTCACCATAATTTATATATTATACACTGCTAAAATATTTAAATTAATAATTTTGTCTGCTCATAGGTATTATTGCAAGTAATAGTTTATACTCAATATTTGATTGCTTCATGAAATCTCTATACCATTTACAAGAATGTGCACAGATACATGTGCATACTAAAAAAAAATTAATCACTGGCTTTTAGACTCAGTTACCTTTGCAATAATGACTTCTTTCTTCAGAATCTTCATAGCATAGTATTTTCCACTTGCCTTCTCTCGAACTAAAATAACCTTCCCAAAAGTGCCTTTACCTAGTAGCTTCAAATAGTCAAAATCATTCATCGTCTGAAAAATATAAATTAGAAAACTATGATGAAATAGTTGGCATAATTTACTGTTAGTCTGCTTGCAATACTTGCAATGTAAACTCAATATTGATCCTAGTAATTTCTAGAGCAATTTCAAACAAAAAAAACTTACTACTGGTTGTCTCTTGAACAACCTTGGATACTGAAAATAATTAACATAGTTCTCAGCGTTTGTAGAAATTATTTTGAACCTAGAATTTCTCCATCAGTCAAACTATTAGTTAACTGACAGAATGTTTTTAAAAGTAAAATAAGGTTTTTAAAAATTATTTTCAAGTTCTCATGTTTTAAATTAAGTGTTACCTCAGAAAAAAGTGATATCAAAGAATATACAAATAAACATTTTAAAATAGAAGCAAAAATCATTTTTGCAGAAGCAGGAGAAAAGAGCAATAAAAACTGTAATCTCCAGTCAGATTGATCAGGAAGATAAACACAAAGATAAAATTATCTTCATGAAATGATAAAGGTGACATCACTACAAAACCTACAGAGATTAAAGTGACCTTAATTAAGACAATAAACAGCTTTATACCAGCAAAATAACACCAAAATGAAATGAGCAAATGACTCACACTGCAAACTACAAAAGCTCACTGACAAAGGAACGGAAAAGCTAAAGAACCCTATATAAGAACTGAATTTCTCTTAACATTTTTTATAATAAGGAAAAGTCCACAACATTTAAAGAAAAAAATGGTACCAATCCTACACAAACTCTTCCTGAGAACTAAAACGGGAGAAGTATTTTTCAATTCACTCCTTGAAGCCAGGAAGCACTCTGACATTAAAAATCGTTTTAAATATTTCGTAAGTGAATGGCTACATTCAATTTTAATATAACTTACCTATAACTTTGATAATTTTATCCAAATGTCAAATTACAATGTCTTAATATGAGTAGTTCAAAGGAAAATATAAATGTCAAAAAGAGAGCAGGAAAATAACATATACTTATTGATTCAATTATAAATCAAATGGAGCTGCACATAAATGGAAAACAGTATCAAATTCAGTCATTTAAAAATAATAGATAGCTCGACATATTAATTTCACTAACAGTTTTACAAACTCAGAGGATAAGAAGCAAAGCATTAGACCCTATATATGACTATCTTGTTCCCATCAAGCAACACTGTCTCTTTGCCACCTCCAACCCCTTCTTCTTCCTTTCTCCCTCCCTGACTCTCCATCTGTCTGATTGGCATTTTTATTTTTTTTATTTCTCTTTTTTAAATTTATTTATTGAAGATTTTTGTCTCTTCCCTGTCACTGCCTCCCATTTCCCTCCCCCTCCCCCAAGCAAGTCCCCCCTCCCCTTGTCAGCCCAAAAATCAATCAGGGTCCCTGCTCTGTGGGAAGTCCAAGGACCACCCACCTCCATCCAGGTCTAGTAAGGTGAGCATCCAAACTGCCTAGGCTCCCACAAAGCCAGTACGTGCAGTAGGATCAAAAATATTATAGTATGTAAGCACACAATTTTCCCATTCCCCTTCCTCTTTCCAGCCCCTCCGTACATCTTCCTGCTCTCTTTCAAATTCATGGCTTCTTAAACTGTCTTTGATCAGTTCCAAAGCCACCCTATGGCACTTCATTTTTTTTTTTTTCTCATAGAAACTCTCAAGAGACAGCTTTCTGTCAGGGGCCATGAGAAATGAAGCAGGTGATAACTAGTGTTCAACAGGAGGCACTAGCAGTGAGAGATTCAATGATAGGGAGCCCCACCTGGAAAGGCCATGGATTTACTAGTTGTGGAAAACAGTTGTTCCTGTCTGTAATTTCTTGCATGAGTCACTTGATTGCTTACCTAAGAACTTCATTTCTTCCCTAAGAATAACTTCGGGTGTTTTCCCACTGCTTTTCTGTCTATCTCATGAAAATATCCCATCTACTGGGCGTATATATCTATGGGTGGCCAGGAAGATGACTTTTCATTTGGCTGTATAATTTTGATACATAGAATATATACTGGGACATGCGTCATAACTAGATCTATTTGTCCCACAAGGACTATGGACACTTAAAAGCCTGCCTTATTCTTTTGTTCAGGCAAACTGCACACAATTAGCTCTCTTTTACCTCAGAGCAAGTTCAAACTAGACTAAAGGCTTTTGGAAATAGATCATAAGTTTGGAACCTTACAGCTATGCACAAGGTCAGGGCCACAAATGTCCATCTAAGGTTACTAAGAAAAGCACGTCAATTCTTTGCTTACCTGTTGACTGACAAAAGACCTATGTCTCAAAACATATCTAAATGGGCACTGTACACCCCGCCCTCTGGTCATAGTCTTAATCCTATAACCTTGGACTCTTGTGTTATCACTTGCTCTAAGAATGTGGTATTGATCAAAGAAAGACAACTATTGCATTTTTTTCAACACTTCAAGACTCCTGGGAAAAAGAGTATTTTGAGATAAGAAGGAGAGAAATCAAGGAGAAGTTAGAAGTACGATGGGAGTATTAGGATAGAAGCAAGACAATAAAAAAAGAAACTGGCACAAAGAAGCATGGAATGAGAGACTCATTTTTGTCCTCAGATCTCTAGCCCTTGCTTGCTTTAGCATCCTCTATGAATCCTGAGGGGCATTGAGGCTGAACCTCAAAGGCCCTTGTTAGCTTTCCTTCGATGTGGAAGCTGAGGTTAGCTTGTTGGAGGAAAGACTATGTACTAAGACCCTGGAAGATAAGATACCACATGCACAGAGAAGCTGCATAAACCATGAAGATAACAAAGGCAAAAGTCAACACCAAACCCTGGGACATAACAGAAAGTTTCCTTTGGGTTTTTCAAAGCCAGTACATGAGCAGCCAAAAATAATTTATTAGAACAGCAGAACAGCCCACCCAGCAACAAAACCGTAAGAAAGAACACAGCTATTGTTTCTGGTAATTTCGTGGCAATAAACAGGTAAAAAGACTCATAACCAGGCCAAAAATTGATTATATTGCTCAACATGGCATGTAGTACCTTCTTTATTTTTCATCTAAAAGCACTAAAAACAGATACTAATATACACAATTACTAGATATTATTGTTATCCCAAATTCTTGAAGACAAAAATAGAACAATAATTTATAAATAGCTTTATGACATTTTTAGATCTTTCAGTATCTTACTGATCTGTTAAGCATATATTTAGAATTCCAGAAAATTAACAGGGTAGAGCAGGTATAACTTCCTTTTTAATGCAGTTGTCTAAAATTCAAAGGACGAGATTAATTGGAACCTGATTCAAAATTATTAATGCAGTCAAACTTCAAGTTATAAACATCTGTGCAAAAGGAAATGTCTCATCTGAATAAATGGGTAAAGATAAGTTATGTTCATATTCCTGACTGAGAAATCAACTTAAAATAAACACTATTTCAAATCAACAACCACATAGAGAGGATCTGTCTATATAAAGGACAGAAAGGGGACATATTAGAGGTTGCAGACCAGTTCAGCACACAGGCTGTATTTCTAGTAAAAAACCTGTAGTTAGAAAACGAGCAAGGATGTCAGGACCAAAGGGGGTGCACCCACCCACGGAGACAGTGGGGGCTGATCTATTGGGAGCTCACCAAGGCCAGCTGGACTGTGACTGAAAAAGCATGGGATAAAACCGGACTCTGATCATGGCGAACAATGAGGACTGATGAGGTTTTATTTTTTATGTGTGGGTTTTTATTTTGTTTGGGTATTAGAGCAATACTGGATTCAGAGAATGAGTTTGGAAGTGATTCTTTTGTTTCTTTACTATTTCTTTTAAAAATAATTTAAGAACTGGAGGTAGGTTGCTCAAAGTTTGGTAGAAGTCTATTGTGGATATACCTTGGATCAGACTTGCATTTTTTCTGTCTTACAGATTTTGATAATTTTAATTTTATTGTTCTGTGTAATTAGTATTTTGACAAGGGTATAATGTAGGATTTTTTTNGCGGGGAGGGGGAGGGAAATGGGAGGCTGGGAGGAGGCGGAAACTTTTTTTTCTTATTCTCAATAAAAAAAATAAATAATAAAAAAAATGTAATATACAACATATATTTCATACAAGTAATGGTACAGAGTGAGTAAGCTCATATGTTACTAATTAAATGCTAAATACAAAAGAGAAAAAAAAAAGAACTGTGTCTAACTACAGTTCTAGAAGTTACAATTCCCCTCTTTTCAATTCCCTGACCACTGCACACACTTGGTGCACAGATACACTTGAAAGCAAAATATCCATATTTTGCATATAAAACAAAATGGAAGAAAATTAAAAATAAAAAGACTGAAAAAGTTCACAGGCATCAAGTACAGAATGTTAAAGAAAAAACTTTACATAGTGAATTAATTCTCTAAGTTGTGACTTTATCATTTCTCTTAAGTTCAAAGCATGTGGAAGTGAAAAGATTTGAACCAAAGAAATCTAACATGAAAGGCAATTCTACACACCATACTAACAACAAATGGCAGAGTTCAGTAGTAGAGAAACATTTGCATAACTCATAGTTCAAAATGCCAATACTGAAAAATTAATTAACTAATTAATTAAACAAGTGAAAAATGTAATTGGTAATACTTTGAGCATTTTTCACACCTGAATAGGATTTATAAAATAAACAGCAAATGTATATTTAAGATATACATGCAAGTGACATTTCATCAGTCTACTATAAAGGCCATCAACTACAGATTAGATAGCTTCAGTCCATTCTTCCATATATGTTTGAATTTTCAAATAATCACATTAGACTAGTTTTGAATCCCATATTTTAAAAAATAAAGTCATAGTAATGAAAAATATTATTTACAATTCCTATAAAATTATATACTAATATGGAACACTGAGGAAAGAAAAGTTGTGGTTTTCCTCCTTTATTGGCTCATGAGTAGTAATGAAAAGAAAATGTGTTATTTCTAAGACTCACTTTTTGAGGTAGCTTTGATGAAGTTGAATTCAAGGGGCAGACATTTAATTTCCTGGTTTCTGAGATGTCATCTATAAAGTACATCAATCACCACTCCTTCGCAAGCTCCGCAAGCACTCACACTGCAGTGCTGGCACATTATTAGGTTTTAAGGAACAGGTATTTTAGGTTCACAAAGTTATACATACAATAAGAAAACTAACACCTCTCTCAGAAGCAGTTTTCATCATAGTTTTTCTAGAATCTAAAGACTGTATTTAGAAGTTAAAATAAGTCATCATCATTTTCTACCTTTCTTTTATGATGGGTTGTAGATGCATCCATCTCTTCTTCTCCTATATTATCAATCTGTGAAGTTGGACTACAATTCATTCTCTCCTCTTCTTGTCTCTGCAGTCGGTCTGCTACAGCTTGGATAGCTTCTGTCCATTCTTCTCTACAAAAATGAGTACAATTTCTCATGAACAAACGTTAAGTTACTTAAACCTTTTATAATTTATAAGATGACTGCAAATAATCTTCTGTGTAGCCATCCTGTCTGCCATCATCTCTAGGTGATAACAATCCTAAAAGCCTAGAGTCAGGAGTAGCACTTCTATGGAAATTATATTATGTAAAATCTTGTCTATAAATACACATTATATACGAACACACACACATGCATATATACACATTAATTTAATTACCCTTTGGGGTGACAGTACTTCCACAAAAACCATAGGCTATCAAACAAAAACCCTGGTGCCCCTAGCACTATGATGGACTAAGTAGAACAAGGAGACCCACACTCCAGACTCCAAGGAGAAAACACAGGCCCACATGGTGCCTTGTAGTTCCATACAGAAAGGCACTGTTATGGTGAGAAAATGTATGGTGTGGTATGTGGGAGGGGGGCAGTCAGACAGAATGGTTCATGTCTTGTGGACAAGGGCTTATTTGAAAGCTGGAAATAGTGAGGGAGGTGAGTGGATTCATTGGCACCCAGGGCCATGGTGATGTCTGGGCCTGGGCTGCTGCTGGGGCCCACATCTGAGTTCTTGGCCCTGATGCAGTCTCAGTCTGTGTTCATGCCCATGGCTCCTGACACCATTGGGGGCTGAGAGGATAAGGCTGTACAGAGCTGGCCTCAGCCCTCACTGGCTGCATCTAGGGGGAACCAGCCCTGCCCTTCACCAGCTGAAGCACACAGGATAGAGGGTCCTACACTTCATCTGGGCAGTACAATAGAGTTGACTCTGTAGACAGGGGCATGGATGAGCCAACCCTGAGGGCATGAGAGGGGCATAACTAGTAGTATCACTTCCCTTGCCTGTAGTGTAGTGGTGGGGCTGAGAAAAAGATGCCCTCCCCACTTTCCCCTACTGCCTCTAGTGGGCAGGGAACTGACCTTCCCCTTTAACAGCTACAACACTCAGGAAAGTGGGACCTGAACCTCAACTGGACAGTACAACAGAGCTGATCCTGTTGATGGATGGGGTGAGGGGAGACAGGGGACTACCACATGCAGGTAAGCTGGTCCCAAAACCATGAGCGTGAGAGATCAGTCTCTGCCCCTCATCTACCATATGGAAGTATGGGCAGGGGAGAGATGCCCCCTACCCCAATATGCCTGAGGCAAGTGTGAGAGCCTGCCCTGAGGTTCTAAGAACTGGAGAGCTGTTCCTCCCTGTCATCAGCTACAGCACTCAGGAGAGTGGCCCTTACACCTTGTCTTGGCAACACAGTAGCACTGGCCCTGATGGTTTAAGTGTGGGAGAGCCAACCATGAGAGTGTGAAAAGCATGAGAACTGGCCAAGCCCCTTGCTCATCCCTGCAAGGGATGAACTAGCCAGGGCAATGCTGGAGAGCTCCTCATGGTGGTGAAGAGAGAACTGATGGGCTAAACAACCCTGCAATTACCCAAGCTCAGAACCAGGGTTATGAGCTAGCCCACCCCAATATCCACCTTATCCATGATCTGCTGGAGCAACTGAAGAGGCCAGTCCTACAGACCCAAAGCTGCAGGATCTCCACAATACAGGGTAACAATAAGATAGTCAGGAGAAGGCACAGTGAGGGCCCAGCATTGACAGTATAGCAGAAACCAGAGGCCTCCAACCAGACCAATGGCTCTGCAATGAGCACTTGCTGGTAAAGATACATGGACAAAAGATTTACTGTGTGACTGTGTGTGTGACACTATAGTTTCCATGATGAGATTTTTCTTTTTTCCCCTTTTTTCTCTTAAATATTGTTTTATTGGGGGGGGTGTTGCAAAGGCAAAGGGTGGATACAAAGGGACAGGGAAATGACTGGGATAAGATGCATGATATAAAAGACACAAAAAGAAGAGAAAAAACCTTGGTGCCAGGCATAGAAAAAGTCCTTTTGAACTATTGGAAGATGGGTTCAAGAGACCCCAAACAATATAGGCTACTGCTGAAAGGCTTCACTGCCTTCCAGAAAAGGGAGGTAAAACTCCACTACTAAAGACACTAAACACTTAAGACACAGGATTCAGAGGAATCAGTTGCAATCTAACATGGAAGTCCCCTCCTTGAGAACTAATTCTCATAGTTCTGGAAGGAGATATATGAGCGGCCACAGGAGAAAGTAATCAATAGTACTAACCAGCTGTAATGCCTGTGAACAACAATGACAAGAATTTTTAAGATATTCTGAAAGGTGAAATAGTGGCCCTTACATCCTAGGAGTATAAACAATGGCCATACAACTGAACTTAAGGTTTGCTCAATATGTGGAAATTCATGCCTTCTATTGTAAAGTCAGCAAACTACCCATGGCTGATAAGGTCATGTATCGTGGAGAACAATCTACTATGACTGACTTCCTAGGATAGCCTCTAATTGCATTCTAAATACTTATCCTTACAACTACAGGTAAGTGTAGTCTCACCTCTTGCTCAACAAAAATAAAAAAACTTTTATTTGAAGATGGAGACTATTACTGAAAGTCACAACTAGTCAAAATTCGGAGAACAACTAACTTACGATTGTGTGTCCAACACTAATTAATATATTTACAATACAATTCCTATACTCAGACTCAGAACATCATGGAAAATGGGGTAGAAAGACTATAACCAGTCAAAGGACCATGGCATTTACTGCTATACAGCACTTTCTAAGGAAGAGTAGAGAGCACAAAATAGAGGTGGGTATAGAGGAGAAGAAGGTAAGTCTAGAAGAAGTTTTTGGATAAATGAAAAGTGTATATGATAAAATACATTTATGAACTTCTCAAAAAATTAAATTATCATCTAAAAAGTAAAATATCAAAAAATTTCAAAACAGAAAAATAAGAGAAAAGTTCAGTTAAAGGCTTTTGAAACTACAATTAAATTTTATTTGCACAAATCCTACCTATTGATATAATTCTTCCCCTTAAATGTGATGCTTTTTTAAGTTTACCTACTCAGTCATCTCAATGATCCCTCTAACTAAAAGTATTTTAAATTTCTTTTCATTCTTGGAACATATTCTGGCACTTACATGATTTCAGCACTCTGGGGATATGAATACATTATCGCCAATTATTATTTTATTCAATATGTTATTCTTCATCAATTTTTCCCATTGTTATGCTACCTGTTGATCTGTTGCTCCTTTGAGGAATAAACATTCTTTCTCATTAACTATGGTATTTAACAAACTTAATGGACAGCTAGGTGTGGTGGCACATGCCTTTACTTTCGTTACAGCTTCTAGAAGGAAGAGGAAGGCACATCTCTTAAGTTCAAGGCCAGCCTGGTATACAAAACAGGATCCAGGACAGCCAGGGATAAAGAGAAAAACCTTGGGTAGTAGTTTAAAAGAAAATGGCCTCCAAAAAGAGTTGCTCTGTTAGGAGGCATGGCTTTGTTGGAGTAAGTGTGGCCTGGTTCTGTGAAGTGCAGCACTGTGTGAGTGGGCTTTAAGGTCTCCTATGCTCAAGCTACTCCCTGTGTCACAGACCACTTACTGTTGCCTTCTGATCAAGATATAGCCAGCCAGCACCATGTCTGCCTGCATGCCACCATCCTCCCTCCCATGATGATAATGGACTGAACCTCTAAACTATAAGCAGTCACTTCAATTAAATGTTCCCCTTTATAAGAGTTATAAGAGTTGCCACAGCCACAGCCATGGTGTCCTTTCATAGCCTATTGCTAACTAAAACATCCTGTCTCGAAAACCAATCAAACAAAACAAAAAACAGCCAATCTTACTGAAATAGTAATTTTCTTTGTATTTTGCTTACTTGGTATTTGTAGAACTTTTGGTTCTGTGACAATGTATCTCTAGACACTTTAGAAAATGTTCGTGCACTATTAATTTAAATTCTTCTGTCTCATTCTCTCAAATTAAAGTTCAATGATGTATCTATAAGAGTGCCTCATTGCATAATCTGCCCCATATTCGACTATCATCAGTTTTTATTTTCTGTCCTGCTTCTTATTGGATATCCTCTTCTCACTGGTATTCAAGATCACCAATTTTCACTAAGTGAAGCCTAACTCACAATTAAAACCATTCACTACCTCATAGAAAAGAAAGTGGAAAGAAGCTTTCAATGCATGTGCACAGAAAACTGATGTAGGACAATGGTCTGTATTCTGTCAATTATATTTTAAATAAATGCTCATTGGTCAGTAGCCAGGTAGGAAGTATAGGTAGGAAACCAGACAGGAAGAAGAGGCAGATGAAAAACAGGAGAATTGTGGTAAAGAGGAAGCTCCCTCCCCAGTCCTGCCCAGACACGGAAAAAGGAAGATGTGACCCTGCCCCGCTGAAAGAGGTACTGAGCAATGTGGCTAACATATACTATAATAATGGTCTAATATAAGTTATAAGAGTTAGCAAGAAGCCTGAGCTAATGGGCCAATCAGTTTATATCTAATGTAGAACTCTGTGTGATTTTTCTTTGGGACATAATGACTGCGGGAACCAGGCAGGACAGAAACCCCAGCGAGCAGGCCCTCATGTTACAGGAAGCCACTTTCTAAATGTAATACCAGTAGCACAGACACCAAGAGGAACAATAAATAATTGGAACTTTCTGAAACTGAGAAGCTTCAGAAAGCAAAGGACACAGTCAATAAGACCAAAAGGAACCTTAATAAATGAACAAAGATCTTCACCAACCACACACCACATAGAGGACTGAACTCCAAAATATATTAAGAACTCGAGACACTAGACATCAATATACCAAATACTCCAATTAAAAAATGGGGTACAGATCTAAACAGAGAATTCTCAACAGAAGGCTCTCAAATGGCCAAAAGACAGTTAAGGAAATGTTCAACATTCTTAGCCATCGGGGAAATGCAAATAAGAATGACTCTGAGATACCATCTTACACCAGTCAGAATGGCTAAGATCAAAATCTCAAAGATAGCTTATGCTGAAGAGGATGCAGAGTCAGGGGAACACTCCTCCAGTGCTGGTGGGAGT